AGGCTTGTGAATAAAATATAACATGCTCTTTTGGCAAACTTGTAAAAAGTTGTGCTCTGAAATTGTTGAAGAATCTTCTACGACAAAACCTATGAAGCTTTTTGAAGACAAACCCAGCTTTGAAATCAAATATTTAGTTGAGTATTACATAAAAGGGAAAAAAAGAAAATGGTTCAGCATCTACTCACAAACCGTGAGGTTGCTAGGGTTGTTCTAGTTGGATATTAAACACTACGATGACTAAAGGTTTTGATCTGGATATTTTGATCACAAATTAAGCCGTTTGTCTTAAATTAAGCAAATCTACTGATCTGACATCTACAGATGTCACTTTTCCAGGACGATGATACTTCACATGTATCGTCAAGCATCGTCACCATCAAACAGGGTTATCTCGATATAGAGTTGGGGGCACGGGTGGCCCAGTCGTCTAAGGCACCGCGATTCGCTTGGCAGAGTTGCGTCCCTTGGGCACACCAGAAACCTATGATTGTGGGTTCGAATCCCGGTTCGCCCCAATTATGTTTCTAGGTTTGTCAGCACCATACCCGTGCTCGTGGGTTTCACCGAAGTGGTAAACGTCTGAGACCTGCATCACTTCGGGCTTTCCTCCCACATTAAGCTGACACGCCGCGATATAATTGCAATACTGTTAAAAGCGGCGTTAAACCCAACTCACTCACTCACTCGATACAGTTGTTTATTTGAGGACCCGTGAAGATCCGGGGTAGAAGGCTTGTCGTAAGAGGCGACTCACGGGATGGGGTGTTTAGTCGCGCTGACTTGATGCATGTCAACGTATCCAACTTGCGTGGATCGATGCTCATGATTTCAGTCACTGGATTGTCAGGGAATTAGGAAACATTCATCTCATAAGGTTTTTATCTGCATTTCCCTTTTGTTATCGTCACTACATAACGTCTGTCTTTCGCTTCTCCTTCTCTCCACCCCACGTCCTACCTTGCCCCCTCCCCCATCCCCTCAGGATTTCACTTCCCAGGCTCGATGTCGAGTGACGCGCGTTGTACGACCTACCCCCATAACAAATCAGTCGCGTAACTCATTCTAATTTAGAGGACAACCATTTTTGGTCTGGAGACCGAATATTTCGCCATATTTTCAACGTATGAAATCATTTTGCAAAGCGTGAATCACACTATTTGTAATCCCCAATGCAGACCCTAGCCCAAACAGCCCGACCCGTGAAGATCCGGGGTAGAATAGGTCTTCAGCAACCCATGCTTGCCGTAAAAGGTGACTATGCTTGTCGTATAAGGCGACTAACGGGATCGGGGGGTCAGGCTCGCTGACTTGGTTAATGCATGTCATCGATCCCAATTGCGTGGATCGATGCTCATGATATTAATCACTGGATTGTCTGGTCCAGACTCGATTATTTACAGACCGCCGGCATATAGCTGGAATATTTCTGAGTGCGGCGTTAAACAACAAACCAAACCAAACCAAACCAAACAGCCCGTCGCCACAGCACCTGTGTAAGTCATACAAACCGAGGGTCACAAGAAAATATACCGAGTTTGTTTTTATATTTAATTGAAAATTGGAAGAAATATTGTTAAATTTGCTTATGTCTATTTAACCCCATCACTTATTCCTGTAATATTTCATAAAAAGTAATATGTGGCTGGGGTAATTTTGTGTAAAAATATATTGGTTAAAATATCCAACCTCATGACTCATACTATGTTTGAAATGTTGCAAATGTGTGCCGAAAAAATGTCCAAAATATCACTAATTTGTTGTGTATGACACGCATTTTTTCTAATTTAAAAAAGTTTTAAATAATTATATATTTTTTAAAGTATAACCATGCCGAAGTATTCTTGTAGTTCTATTATAAAGTCAGCTGAGAGGTATAGTTTCTCTTGATCCCCAGTGTACATAAAAACAAGAGTTTCACCAATTGATCCTCATTAATTTACGTTTGGATTTCAGCTTTGATGGAAATCATGTGATGGTGTGATAAGAGTTTAAACTAACCCCTTTCTTAAAAAACCCAGCGGAAACACCTAGGTTACCCTGCGAAATGAACACGTGCGCTACCCAGCGTAAAAACCTATCAATATTGAAGCAAGGATTTCTTTAAAAGAAGAGAACCACTGTTTGTTAACGTCAACAATGGCCAAAGTCAAGACTAGGAATGATCATAAATTTCTAATGAGAATCAAAGCTATCGGCTATTTCTTGCTCAATTGCTGCAGGGCTTGGCGGCAATCGACGGTATAATAAATGTTAAACAGTGCTCTTGTCGACGGCAGCGAATTGGCGTTTCGCACGTGCACTGGCGCGATCCGCAACTCGGCAGTGTGGGATCCAGGACGAATCTGTGATGGGGCTCACTGAAATTAATCACTCAGTCGGCCGCCATGCTCGTATGGCAGGGTACACGTGCCCCGTAGCTATTAGATCGCTAATCACCACTAATGACTATGTTTGAATTCAAATACAATTTAGTACTATTGAACGGCAAGCAAAACCAAGATCTAATCGAGTAACACTTTCATTAATTTCACCCCGCGGTTGCCTGATAAAGGACTACATTTCCTTCGTCTGTTTCTGATGTAAAAGAATATCGGATGTTGACAAGGCTAATCGCCGCCATCTAAGGTAAAGCATAGACCTTCAGGATATCGCTCCGCGGGAATGGAACCAGAATACTAATTGTTCGTGGCACACGAATCTCACCGCCTTCCGGCACAGAAACTGTAAAGAATGGGTGAAGGAGGATATGATAGCTCATCTGACTGATTTACAAATAGACAAAGTATGATGAAAGCCCTCTCGCGTCAAATTTTATAGATACCGTATAAAGTATTACATGTATTCGACCCGTGAAAATCCGGGGTAGAATAAGTCTTCAGCAACCCATTCTTGCCGTAAAAGGCGACTATGCTGGTCGTAAGAGGCGACTAACGGGACTAACTTTTTTGAGTAGTACATGTAAACTATTGAATAGCCATTTTGAACCCGCGAAGATCCGATCTTCAATAGGTCTTCAGCAACCCATGCTTGCTGTGAAAGGCGACTATGCTTGTCGTTAGAGGCGACTATCGGGATCGGGTGATCAGACTCGCTGAGTTGGTTGATGCATGTCATCGTATCCCAATTGCGTGGATCGATGCCCATGATGCTGATCATTGGATTGTTGCACTCAGCAATATTCCAGCTACACGAAGGCGATCTGTACATACTCGAGTCTGGCACAAACAATCCAGTGATTGACATCATGAGCATCGGTCTACGTAGTGACATGCATTTTAAAAACACTTTCTCAAGGATATGCCACATCCAAGTTATTTCTGTAATTTGTTCAACACTAGGAATCGTCCTTCTGAATTCGTTAAAATAGAAGACATCACCATGGAGAGAATCAAACGACATGTCGTTGTCATATATTTCATTTTTTTAAGTGTGATCACTTTTGTGATATTACTGAACAAAAACACGCATTTCCGTATTCTTTCTCTGACAATACCTAATATACGTCATACATTCTGGCATCAAGGACACATGCTTCATATTTGACCAACATTAAACGACATATGGTTGTCATATTAACAGGGGGCGGTCAGGAAGCCTAGTGGTTAAAGCGTTCGCTCCTCACGCCGAAGGCCCGGGTTCGATACCCGACATGGGTTAAATGTGTGAAGCCCATTTCTGGTGTCACCCGCCGTGATATTGCGGGAATATTGCTAAAAGCGGCGTAAAACAATACTCTGTTACTCACTAAACAGCTATTAAAGTGGTTAAATACTTTCATCAAAATTGTCGTTCAAAGATTTAAAGGGGCGGTCGGGTAGCCTAGTGGTTAAAGCATTCGCTCGTCACGCCAAAGACACAGGTTCGATTCCCCACATGGGTACAATGTGTGAAGCCAATTTCTGGTGTCCCCCGCCGTGATATTGCTGGAATATTGCTGAAAGTGACGTAAAACCATACTCACTCAAAGATTTAACATAACTGTGATGATAAATCGGTCAAAATACCAACGGACACACTGAAGTTGTTGATTTAACATATACCAAAATAAAACACGCTCTCAAGCATCACGAATGTAAACTAACACACACAAAATATACACATTCGTGAAAAAGGAATTTTCATCCAATTGAAATGTTGATTAAAACAAAACGTCAAAACCGATTAATTCATATAAATATATCCCGGTAATTCAAAGAACGCTTCTACCTTGCAATATCTTCCAGAACACATGGTATCTATTATCCTATGATTAATCACAGACTTGATCTAGATATGAGTGTACCCACAGTTGCATCATGGGATTGTTACCTTTACACACTGCCTTGAAATCTCTACATCACGTTTTAAATTGATGATAAAATCTTTCCGTGGTGTAAACTTAACGAGATTGAAATTGACGGGGAATTATTAAGACTTGATATATTCCGTTAAAATTTGATTAATGAAACATACACGAAATAGGCGAGGGCGCTTTGGCGTCATGTGGTCGCGCATTGTTGTTATGTAGAAGAATCAAGGGGTATGTTTGTATTCTAAACAGTGCCACTAGCAATCTCAGTTGAGAACGAAGGGGATATGTGGCTATTCCAATTACGGGGCATTCACCAATGCAGGTGATGCATTTTGCATTTTTTCTCGTCAAATGTTCAGTGAGATTTCTTCACCCTTTCACCTGTGTTTTTAATCTTTCTTGAAAATTTAACAAAAGCTACTGAAATCAGATTGAAACGTGTTCCCGTACCAGCGAGAGGATGATTGAAATCCTTTGTGCAGCACCCTTGGGAGTTTGAGGGAGAGTGTTATGTTACAATCTCTGCGTCAGTGCTCGCGCTGCTCCGTCCCCCTGACACTGCTGTTAGCTCATCGATAAAAATCTATGTAATCCTAATTTAGCCGCCTTGTACATGATTAATCCCGTAGTTCATGTTGCTAATACACTAGATGGTTATCTAGAAGTGACAAACACAATTTGTTACCTGCAAAATTCAGTATTTCCATTACAATACAGGAAAAGTTGGTGACGAATGTCCCACCCAGGCCCCCATCACCGGTGTGTGTTTGTTGTCAACATCCGAGAGACATCGCTCTGCCAGGAAAAACAACTTTGGCAAAGCAGTCTTTCAGATGTGTGAGCTTCAGACTGAATCCAAGTGAATCGACTCGACACTGCGTAAACATACTTATTTCTTCACTTTAATAGTGTTAATTGCAGCTGAAACGCGTGCACCTTGTATACGTACTGGTTGCCAACGTTGGTTTACTTGATTCATGGAAAACAGTATATCCGTTACTTGTAGAGATAGCAGATTTAAAATGGTTGTAGTTGTAGTTGGAACAGCAGTGGAATCCGAGGTGGTAGATGTAGTACCCGTGGTGGTAGATGTAGTACCCGTGGTGGTAGATGTAGTACCCGTGGTGGTAGATGTAGTACCCAAAGTTGTAGATGTAGTACCCGTGGTGGTAGATGTAGTACCCGAGGTTGTAGATGTAGTACCCGTGGTGGTAGATGTAGTACCCGTGGTGGTAGATGTAGTACCCGAGGTGGTAGATGTAGTACCCGTGATGGTAGTTGTAGTACCCGTGATGGTAGTTGTAGTACCCGTGGTGGTAGATGTAGTACCCGTGGTGGTAGATGTAGTACCCGTGGTGGTAGATGTAGTACCCGTGGTGGTACATGTAGTACCCGTGATGGTAGTTGTAGTACCCGTGATGGTAGTTGTAGTATTTGAGGTGGTAGATGTAGTACCCGTGATGGTAGATGTAGTACCCGTGGTGGTAGATGTAGTATGTGAGGTGGTAGATGTAGTACCCGTGATGGTAGATGTTGTATCCGTGATGGTAGTTGTAGTATTTGAGGTGGTAGATGTAGTACCCGTGATGGTAGTTGTAGTATTTGAGGTGGTAGATGTAGTACCCATGATGGTAGTTGTAGTATGTGAGGTGGTAGATGTAGTACCCGTGGTGGTAGATGTAGTATCCGAAGTGGTAGATGTAGTATCCGAGGTGGTAGATGTAGTACCCGTGGTGGTAGATGTAGTATGTGAGGTGGTAGATGTAGTATGTGAGGTGGTAGATGTTGTATCCGTGGTGGTAGATGTAGTATGTGAGGTGGTAGATGTTGTATCCGTGGTGGTAGATGTAGTATGTGAGGTGGTAGATGTAGTACCCGTGGTGGTTGATGTAGTATGTGAGGTGGTAGATGTTGTATCCGTGGTGGTAGATGTAGTACCCATGATGGTAGATGTAGTATCCGAAGTGGTAGATGTAGTACCCGTGATGGTAGATGTAGTACCAATGATGGTAGATGTAGTACCCGTGGTGGTAGATGTAGTACTAATGATGGTAGATGTAGTACCCGAGTTTGTAGATGTAGTACCCGTGATGGTAGTTGTAGTATTTGAGGTGGTAGATGTAGTACCCGTGATGGTAGATGTAGTATCCGTGGTGGTAGTTGTAGTACCCGTGATGGTAGATGTAGTACCCGAGGTTGTAGATGTAGTACCCGAGGTGGTAGATGTAGTACCCGTGGTGGTAGATGTAGTACCCGAGGTTGTAGATGTAGTACCCATGATGGTAGATGTAGTACCCGAGGTTGTAGATGTAGTACCCATGATGGTAGATGTAGTACCCGTGGTGGTAGATGTAGTACCCATGATGGTAGATGTAGTACCCGTGGTGGTAGATGTAGTACCCGTGGTGGTAGATGTAGTACCCGTGGTTGTAGATGTAGTACCCGTGGTGGTAGATGTAGTACCCATGATGGTAGATGTAGTACCCGTGGTGGTAGATGTAGTACCAATGATGGTAGATGTAGTACCCGAGGTTGTAGATGTAGTACCCATGATGGTAGATATAGTACCCGAGGTTGTAGATGTAGTACCCATGATGGTAGATGTAGTACCCATGATGGTAGATGTAGTACCCGTGGTGGTAGATGTAGTACCCATGGTGGTAGATGTAGTACCAATGATGGTAGATGTAGCACCCGAGGTTGTAGATGTAGTATCCGTGGTGGTAGATGTAGTACCCGTGGTGGTAGATGTAGTACCCGTGGTGGTAGATGTAGTACCAATGATGGTAGATGTAGTACCCGTGGTGGTAGATGTAGTACCAGTGGTGGTAGATGTAGTACCCGTGGTGGTAGATGTAGCACCCGAGGTTGTAGATGTAGTATCCGTGGTGGTAGATGTAGTATCCGTGGTGGTAGATATAGTACCCGTGGTGGTAGATGTAGTACCCGTGGTGGTAGATGTAGTACCCGTGGTGGTAGATGTAGTACCAATGATGGTAGATGTAGCACCCGAGGTTGTAGATGTAGTATCCGTGGTGGTAGATGTAGTACCCGTGGTGGTAGATGTAGTACCCGTGGTGGTAGATGTAGTACCCGTGGTGGTAGATGTAGTACCCGTGGTGGTAGATGTAGTACCCGTGGTGGTAGATGTAGTACCCATGGTGGTAGATGTAGTACCAATGATGGTAGATGTAGCACCCGAGGTTGTAGATGTAGTATCCGTGGTGGTAGATGTAGTACCCGTGGTGGTAGATGTAGTACCCGTGGTGGTAGATGTAGTACTAATGATGGTAGATGTAGTACCCGTGGTGGTAGATGTAGTACCCGTGGTGGTAGATGTAGTACCCGTGGTGGTAGATGTAGTACCCATGGTGGTAGATGTAGTACCCGAGGTGGTAGATGTAGTACCCATGGTGGTAGATGTAGTACCCGAGGTGGTAGATGTAGTACCCGTCGTGGTAGATGTTGTATCCGTTGTGGTAGATGTAGTATACGTGGTGGTAGATGTAGTACCCATGGTAGTAGATGTAGTACCCTCGGTGGTAGATGTTGTATCCGTGGTGGTAGATGTAGTACCCGTCGTGGTAGATGTTGTATCCGTGGTGGTAGATTTAGTATCCGTGGTGGTAGATGTAGTACCCGTGGTGGTAGATGTAGTACCCGTGGTAGTAGATGTTGTATCCGAGGTGGTAGATGTAAAACCCATGGTGGTAGATGTAGTACCCGTGGTGGTAGATGTTGTATCCGTGGTGGTAGATGTAGTATACGTGGTGGTAGATGTAGTGCCCATGGTAGTAGATGTAGTACCCGTGGTGGTAGATGTTGTATCCGTGGTGGTAGATGTTGTATCCGTGGTGGTAGATGTAGTACCCGTGGTGGTAGATGTTGTATCCGTTGTGGTAGATGTAGTACCCGTCGTGGTAGATGTAGTATCCGTGGTGGTAGATGTAGTACCCATGGTTGTAGATGTAGTACCCGTGGTGGTAGATGTTGTATCCGTGGTGGTAGATGTAGTACCCGTGGTGGTAGATGTAGTACCCGTGGTGGTAGATGTAGTATCCGTGGTGGTAGATGCAGTGTATGGGGTGGTATATGTAGTACCCCTTGTCGTCGGCGTAGTGTGGTTGGCCTAATACTCGATGTGGCAGATGTAGTACACTAGGTGAGAGACGTAGCTCTTGTGAAAGTTGTAGTGGCAGTGAGAAAATCGGTTTAGTGAAATGACTGGGCGAGTGAGTGACACCATGATCATCAGATCCTAGCAAAATTAAGGGACGCAACTCTTTATAACAAATAGTGACGTTTTTGACGACCCGAGTTCTCTCCTTTATATAAGTAATGAAATTGTATGCTTTTTTCACAGTGGAACTCCCCTCTCTGTATCCAGAAACACTGGTATCTGATAGATAGGGCATACGATTTCATTATTTTTACCACATCACCTATTTCCTGTGGTTTCCATGGTAGGCATTTAAAAAAATATAATTTTCAACCTATCAGTTATTAGTTTAACAGATTACCTCTCGCCATTCAGTCTGATTGTCATGTGATATCATTAATACCAGCATAATTAACTACTTAAACTGCAATCATTTATTTATAATTGTTCGGTTTATAAAATCACGACATATGTCCGTCGGGCCTCTAATAGATCTTCTCCCGTTACCTAAACGATAACATGAGATATCAATTCCCCTGCCATATTGTACAACAGCTCCTTGACCACGGTGGTGGAGTAAACACACACCACGTGCCCTTTCCACTTGGCCACGGCAGGGTTGTGCCTTTAGACCCTATTTGTTTCTACAAGCTGCGCAAATATGTTAATATCAGCGCTGCTTTTTGTACAATACAATGTTCAATGACGCGTATCAGTGCTGCTATAATTACTTTTACAGTGCCCGATTATTAGGTGCATTTTAACATATGTTGTGATTAAAATTGATATTAAAAGGGTTTAGTTTAATTATTACAATACCGAGTGAAGTTAATTCGCCATTATCTTACCACAATTTCTCAAACGCCGGCCAGGCTTCCCTAAAAGCCTGTCATTATTAAATGTTAAGCATTCAAACGTATTCTCATGGGAGAGCTAAAGTCACCAGAGGTCACGTCCATCAAATCAAAAACAATCATAATAGTTTGAAAAAGAAGACCTTTCATTAGATCTTAAGTAGCGGTCATGAGGTAAATATGTGACTGGTTAAGTGTCCAAATGTTCTACGGTTTATGCCGTATGGTTGTTTGAATAGTATACGATTTGGTTTAGTCGATTTAGAAAGTAATAAACTAATTTTTTATTCATTCAGATGTTAAGTTTGATTACTGTTTCCAAGCATTTTTGCTATTTTACGAATATGCATTTTTATTGTAATCTATTGTGGTCGCTGGTAATTCTAAGAAACATTAAGCTTTGTAGAATATGTAATTCAAAGCATTTGATTATAACCTTCTTTTTAAGAAACTTTAATATTTATAGATATAATTTTCAACAGTACTCTCTAAATATGCTTACAACACCGGTGCTGTGGCACAAATTCTGAACTTTTAGAAAAAAAAGCTTATAATTAACCATGAAGTTCTGAATGTTTGAATGATATAAAAATCTAAAATCGCTTATAAATGCGCTTGCTCGTATCGAAGAATGTAAATAAAACCGGCCTTCTGAATCGGATTTGTGATTTACAGCTTGTAATAAATATTCACGAATAACCATGACGTTATAACTGTTTGAAGTATTTTTTTATCTTCCATTTTAATAATGTCTAAACATTTGAATATTTAAACATTTAAAATCAAATCGAAATATATAAAAATATACGGCAGCGATGCGTCACCTCTTTGTTGTTGTTTTTTGCCTCACTCCCACGCCCTTGATTGAAGGAGAGTCAAAAGAGCATCCGCTTCCTTGGCCGCATCATGTACGAGACTTTACGGAATGTGTATCCACAGACTTTTACAACTTATTCTCATGACAACTTATCATTATACGACTATTAGCCAAATAAGTACTCAGTTGCTTTTTAAGTTTATTTTTTGTGTTTATATTACGTGTTTCCTTATCTTGTAGTCGGCCAAGACCGGAATCCCAGCTGTACTAAACTGCCGGACAAAAGAAAGTATACACCCATATCTGATGGTGGTTAAAAATTAAACAAACAAGAATGGCTACTAGTATTCGATAGTTATGTATTTGATACGGATACCATAGTTGTGTTTTGGACCTAAAGCTTGCAGTGTTTCTGCGTCTGTTTTCCGCCTAGTAACGTTCAGCTAACGTTTGTTATTTTCAGTTTTCAAGTGTATACTTTTTTTGCGCGGTAGTTTATCAGACGAGAGGAAGGTGATAAGGTACCCCTGGTTATGTTACTTGACATCTTCGCCCGTAGTAGTGTTTCACACAACACAGGATATATGTGAACCCGTGACACGATATATGATATTCCTATAACAAAACGTTCACGTCCATCATTCAACAACACAGGCAGCCCCAGAGTTGAAAAATAAGTGGCAGTAATTTTAACGAAAATTAAACATTTCCAATGGTGAGAAACTTTAATGTTTAGGAAATATCCCCTATGGGGGCTCGGCGAGCTGAATAAGGTCAGTGGACTATAAGTGCTTGGGCTAAGCCCGGTAAAAGAGATTTTAATCCAGGTAAAATTTAATACTGGTTACTTTTGAAAGCTTGTATCACGGTTATTTAAACATTACCCTTAAGAGGTTGGGAATTTGAAAATCCTTGTTGAAGCAATTACGTATGGCACTATTTTTCTCATATAATTGCACATCTTGTCGTATTATTTCTAGCTGGGTAAACGGAACCGTTCTTGTCAGTGTGAAACTCTATGCTTGTGGGGGACGGGTGGGGGTAAAAGTGTTGTTTATGATAAGAACTTCTTTTCCAGTAAAGAATACGTTGTGATCCTGAAAACGAAATAAGTTTAGGTGACATCAAATATTGGAAATTGGACTAGGGTTATGTTTTTTTGTGAGTTGAGTTATTTTACATTTTCTTAAATTGATTTTAGTTAATTAATTTAGAGAAAAGAAAATTCATGTTCGGAGGATAAAAGAGGACATATATGCAAAGGCTGTGTCGAACTAACTGATCAATTTATCTCCTCAATTGGCGCTGTGAGATAGTGGGGGTAAAGATTGGTTGAGAAAAGCAGAGAGAAAGGGAGAGAGAAAGTGGATTAAGTAAGCGAGGGAGAGGGGTGAGGGAGGGAGGGGGGATGGGATGGGATGGGATGGGATGGGTAAGGGGAGTGGTGTGGAGATTCGCAAGATACAAAAGTGTATGGTAGATATGTGAAATGCATACTTAAAAACAATTAAGTTCATGTCGTGTAAATCTGTAAACATCAACTCCTGTAAACGCTTCGACACTCAAGTCCTGACTTGCCCCTCAGTGTGAACGTGACCAGTCAGTTGTGTATACGATCATGGTTATACGTCCATGGATGGCCAGTAATAACATTCAGCCCCACCCTTGGGGTTTCCGTGTCAATGATAAGTACAATCTACCCACGGCGCTACGGGACAAACCCTCGCGTATATATGTCGCTTTTATTAAGGGTGTTATTTTTCCCACGGTTCCGGAATAAAACTCACAATTGGAAAATATTGCTGTTACAAATCATTCTTCTCGCTCACCCTACTCCCCGGGGTTTTTATTCTAGTTCTGGTAATTCCCCTACTCTGTGTCACGACGCGACATTTCCCCCGCACGGATGCGTCCAAGTCGTCCCGTCAGCCTTGCCCCTGTGAGCGAGTTGGCTAGTTACCTTTTGTTTGATTGGACATTAAGTATTAAGAGATACCCCCGAGAGCCACAAGCTGTGTTGAGTCAGTTGCAGTTGTCAGATGAACGTTCGGGGCTGAACGGAGCTTCTGCCGTCATTGTCACGG